TTTCGAGACAGGGTTTCTCTGTGTAGCCCTGGCTGTCCTGGAACTCACTCTGTAGACCGGCTGCAGAGATCCCCCTGCCTCTGCTGAGATGAAAGGACTGCATCTCCGTGCCTAGCCAGGCAGTTTTTAAGAGCTTGGTAGCACCCCCCACCCCCATATCACCAACAGCTGGGGGATTACTGTTCAGAACGGGAGCCCGTGGGAGTCATTTCAGATTCAGACTTTAGGGCGGCCACTTTTTGTTCAACCCCACTGCCACCCTCGTTTGTGACTTACCTTTCAAATTTGGCTATTATATCTTTCGCCACACAGAAAAGTTAACTTCCTTTAGTCAAAGAATTCTTTAATTAATATTTAGGGGCTGGAGAGATATCTCAGGGCTTCAGAGCACTTGGCTAGTATTTCAGCAGACCCAGGTCTGGTCCCCAGCACCCGTATGGTGGCTCACGACCATCTGTAGCTCCAGTCCCAGGGGATCCAGCACCCTCTTCTGACCTCCACAAACACCAGGCACGTATGCGCACAAACATGCATGCAGGCAGCACACACACACACACACAAGAAAAATCATTTTAAAATTAGTTTTTGTTTCTTAGTGTGTCTTTCCTACCTAGGACTATAGAACTATTAATTCTTTTATATATTTTATAGTGTATTTTAAATTTAAGTTTTGCTCCAGTTGAGAACATCTTTTTCTGATTATATCCAGGTAGAAATCTACTATTGCTTGGCCACTGATTTGAAGTGCTGTTTTCTCATCTCTAAGGTCCCCCGAGTGGCTAGGCCTACTGATTGATTCTGCCCTTCCTTCCCATTGATTAGTTTATTTGTTCCTTTACTAACAATAGAATATTTCATTACTCCAGCATTCTGATCATGGCAGATCCCACTCCTAGAGGGGCAAAACCTCCCACAAACCCACAAAGATTGCTTTTTAAAGGGGGGCGGGTACCCTTTTTAAAGTATGAAGCATGGAAAAACAGTAAAGAGAACACATCTATGGTAGATAAGCGAACTAGGAAAAATATCTATTTAAGAAAGATCTCTTGCTGGGACCATCACAAAGAACATGGAGAGGTAATGCTGTATTTTTCGTTTAAGACTTACTTTATTCGTGATTATGTGTTTGTATGTGGGTATGTACGTGTGAATGCAGTGCCCTCAGAGGCAGAGAGGTTGCTGGATTCCCCTGTGTCTGGAGTTTTAGGTGTTGTGAACTGTCTGACCCGGGTGCTGGATGTTCAGCCCTTATAGTTTTATTGTGTCTGGCCATGTCCCTTGTCAGTTGATTGCCACCCCCCCCACACACACCATTTGCTTTTTCTCATTAATCCCCCCAAATAAATTGAGCAGTGATCGTTTTCTGTTTGTTGAGTGTGCCAGCTGGCTTCTGCTGGTTCTATTTCGTGCCAAGCTGGCTTCTGCTGGTTCTATTTCACCCCGTGGTTTCTTCACTCTTTCCGTTCATGACGTTTCTCTATGCATTGTTTTCTTTTATATCCTTTACCAACTTTTTATGTTTCTCCCTCCTCTTCCTCTCCCTCTGCTTCTACGTTTTTGTTTTTCAAGACAGGTTTTCTCTGTGTAGCTCTGGCTGTCCTAGAATGCACTCTGCAGAGCAGGCTGGCCTCGAACTCAGAGTGCTGGGATTAAAAAGGCCTGTGCTACCACACCCGGCTGACTTTTTTTTTTTTTTTTGATAATTCTGTTAGATTTCTCTTAGGCTGCTTGGAGTTGTTATCACTTCAGTCGGGTCTTTTCAGTTTTGTATTTTGTTATTTGCACTAGTTTCCTATATCACTGAGAACCCGGTGTCTTAAAACGGCACAGGTCGACTGTCACAGAGTCGCGGAGGTCAGGCACTGCAGCCGACGTGTGGACAGCCCACGTGCCTGTAAGGGGCCGACGGGAGACCCTGTCTCCTCACTCTGAGTGTTTCGAGTCTGCTTATGTGTCGACTCCAGCTCGTGGCCCCACCTTCCGCCACTTTGCTCTCTGCAGCATTCTGTCACTCACAGGGCCTCCCTGCATAGTCCAGCTGCTCTGCCTCAGCCTTGAAGCACAGGATTCCAAGAGAATGCCCCCGTACCGTCCTCCCTCCAGTCCTCCTCCTCCTCCTTCTTTTCATCTCCCCCCTGCCGCCTTCACCCCTTTTCCTGCCTTCTGGTGAGATGTGTGTGCGCCTGTGCATGCCCATGCATGTAGAGGTCAGAGGTCGTCATCAAGTGTCTTCCTCAGTCACTCTCCACCTTCGTTTCTTGACTCGGAGTCTCTCACTGAACCTGGAGCTCACTAATTCAGCTGGACTGGCTGAATGAGCCACAGGGATCCGCCCACCCAGGGATGAGGTTACAGATGCACTCACCTGGCCTTTTATGTGGGTGCTGGGGATCCAGACTCAGACTCTCATGTCTTCACAGCCTGACTGTGACTGACTGAGCCATTCTCTGCCCCACCTCCCACCCCCAGCTTTACATCCCCTTTCCTTAACTCTAATCCTGTTTTGTAGCGATCCTGGCTATTCCATTGAGCCTGTCTGGATAATCCAGGCTAATCTCCTTGTCTCAATCACCCCTTGTAGGTCATACAGCCATCGTCTCAGGGGCTGAGGTTGTGCATCTTAGGGCATCACCCAGACAATCATGCTTTTCTTGTACACGGGAAGAAAATGGCTTGCTCCCCGGTCCATCTATCTGAATGCACTTTGCCGAGGTCCTGCAATCTTGTCTCTCTATTGTCTCCAGGCAGTGGGTGTGCTCTTCGTTCCCCGAGACTTACTGGCTGTTGGGCCCCTTTCCCGATTTCATCTTGGCATTCATACCTCATTGTTTTCTTGTTTCTTGTCTAGAATGTCCTGACTAATACCAAATAATAGCCTTGAGACCAGACATCCTTGTATTGTTGGTAATTTTACAAGAAATTGCTTAATTATTTTACCACTGAGCATGGTAAATTCTAATAAACGTGATTACGCAAAAGGGCTTCTGAGAAGTTGAGTCCCTGTGAACCAAGATTTAAGTCAGGAATATATTTAAATGTAGTAGCCATTATGAATATGAAAGTGACCACGCAGTCTCTTTTATTCCACTAATAGCTTTTCCAATCATGAGTGTGTATTCTGGGAATAAATTTTTTCTTCGTCATAATTTGTGTGTGTGTGTGTGTGTGTGTGTGTGTGTGTGTGTGTGTGTGTGTGAACTACTACCCACTTCTATGTGCTGATATGTACATACAATTTTACTCAAAAATAAAAAATAAAAAGGCTGGGTGTGATGGTATGCACCTTTAATCCCAGTAGTTAGAAGGCAGAGGCAGGTGGATCTCTATGAGTTCCAGCCCAGCCTGGTCTACAGAGTGAGCCCTATCTCAATACAGTTAAATTAAAATCTTACATGTATGAGTCTTGTGCACCTGCACGTGTGTATGTGTGCCATGTGTGTGAGCAGTGTGCATGGAGGTCAGAAGCGGGGATTGGATTTCCTGGGACAGGAGTTACGGATGTTTGTGAGCGACGCTGTGGACGCTGGTACCTGAGTCCGGGTCCTCTGCAGGAGCAGCTAGCGCTCTGACTGCCGAACCATCGTCTCTCCAGCCCCGTTTGCTGCTTTGTCCCCTGTGTGTGTGTCAGCCAGTGAGTTTGGCACAGACTGGTGTTGGTTTGCCATCCCCTGTGTGTGTATCAGCCAGTGAGTTTGAGTTTGGCACAGATTGGTGTTGGTTTGCCATCCCCTGTGTGTGTATTAGCTGGTGAGTTTAGCACAGACTGTCTGGTATTGGTTTGCCATCCTCTGTACAGCTTCGGCACTGTGAATCATCTAGTTACACGGAACTGGAAACCAGTCTACTTTTTGTGTGATCTCACACTGGTGGGCTAGTATTGTTCATGCTGGCATTTTTAACTGGGCGTGTCGCTCAGCAGAAGGATGCTTGCTAGCAAGTGTGAGGCCCCAGGTCGAACCCTAGTCCCACAAAACAGAATAAGCAATAACATTAATAACAAAAAATAATAGCATTAAATATTATTTGCACTTTGAAGTGTCCAGAGACTTAGGTCTCTTGGGTCCCTGTTCCTACTCTCTCCTACCACCTCTCAGTAACCGAGCAGTGGGGTTGTATCCCCCAGACCCGAGGTTCTTCCTCCCTTGCTGTCTTGCAGCATCTGAAGTGAGGTTGTGACGTGTGGAGCAAGTTTTCTCATTGTAAACATGCTCAGCCCACACAGGAGGGTCACATCTACCAACTCAGCTTCATTCATAGACACCTGTCGGGTCGGAGGTTTGCTCAGGATAGCCCTGCTTCCCATGGGACTTTCCTTTCAGGTGCCTTGGGAGTTGTCTTTTAATTGTAGTCACTGCAGTGTTCCTATGACATGCCTAGCATTTCAGCTATGTTATTTCCGGGCTGGGGAATAGTTGTAGCCACCTTTGCTGTCAGGGTTGGCAGTAAGTAAGGTGGTCCGGTAGCTGTGCTTTTGGAACAAATTGTTTAAGGTTGTGTTTTGGCATTTAGATCCATGAGCATGAAAATGAGCAGATTTCGAGAACATGGTGTGGAAATACAAGTCAGGGGAACCTCACTTTTTCACAAAAAGCCAGGCTGCTTAAGATGGCAGTTTTCAGTTCCTCAGAGAGTGATTCTCCAGCTGAAATGTTCCCTTTAGTGCAGAATTTCAAACAGATGCCCATTGATTCCCAAAGCCCAGGGCAGTGAGTTCTAACTTAAGCCTAGTAAACCCAGGGGGTTGACAGTGACTAGCCTAAGTATTTTAAGAGGGATTTTCTGACTGGGTATCTTTGGTTCTTAAATCTTCCCCAGGACTCATTCACTTAAACACGGACTTGGTGTCTTTTGAAAACTGCTGCCACTGACTTCTGAATCAAAATACTGCTGAACTCATCCTATGTAAATGCTTTCCTAGGAAATATTTCAATGAAAAGTTAGTGGGTTTGTGGGTTTTTTCCCCATACAGTATAAATTCAGTTCTTTTTTTCCCTCTGCAGCAAAACAGACCATCACTAATATTTCAATATATAATGAAACCTGCCTGAGATGGACAAGCCTGAAGTCAGCCAGTGTAGAAGAGATGTATTTAGTAAGTTTCTAAAATTTATCTTACTTGCAGATATGGGTACTACGTGGAAGGCTTAAAACCTATCTAGGGCTGTTGGGATGGCTCGGCAGTTAAGAGATGGCCCAACTGCTCTTTCAGAGGACCCAAGTTCAATTCCCAACGCCCTCATGGCAGCTCCCAATCATCTATAACTCCATTTCCAGAAAATTCACTACCCTTTTCTGACCTCTGCGGGCACCAGGCATGCACACGTACATATGCATACATGTAGATAAAACACTCATACATATAAAATAAAAATAAATAAATCTAAAAAGAAATTTTAGATCTACAAGACTGAAAAATATGTTGCGGCTGCCGTTGGCAGCAGATGTCGTGAAGACTGAGTAAGAAGCATTGACGGCCACTTCCAATGTTTGTCTGCAGACAGACTCCTTGGGGGTGGTAAGAAATCGTGAACGTTTCTCAAGTTGCGTATCCTGGTGCAGAGTCAATACCCAGGCAGAGGCTCTGGTAGGAGTCCAGTTATCTTTGAGCACACTGGTGTCTGTGCAGAGCCCAGGGTCTATGTGTGCTGCCCCGACAGTCAAAGGCAATCTCTGAAGCTAGGTGATAACTGAGTGAAAGGTGGTCATGGGAAGAGAAAGGTCTCCAGCTTCAGCTACTGGGATGTCCCGAAAAGGAGCTCCCTAATCAGGCTGTGCCTGGTTAGATTCCTGATTTTCTCTCCAGGAAAATGTTCTTTGGCCATGCTTCCGTGGTTTTGCTGGCAGGCTTCCACACTGTCTGTGCAAGGATGAAAAAGAGCAAGCTGCCTGTATAGGGGCCTCTGAGCTTTGCTCTTTCATCTTATTTTTGAGACAGTTTTACTGTGTCTCTTAGGCTGGCCTTTGTAGACCAGCATGGCATAAACTACTCAAGAGTGTCTGCTGCTCCTGCAGCAGCCCAGAGTTGGGTTCCCAGTACCCACACAAGCTCACACCTGCTTGTGATCCCCACTCCAGGGGATTCAGTGTCCTCTTTTGGCCTCTGTGGACACCTGCACAGAGGTACACCCACCTACTCCCCACACACATAAATAAAATATAAAAATATAAATAAATCAAGTCTCCTGAGGGTTGCAATTCCAGCTATCAGCCAAAACGATCAGTTTGTGTACTTTTACTATAAAATATATGTGTTATCCTCATGGTATTGTAATCACCACATGTACAAAATATGTATAGTGTTGAAAATTGACTTTATTAGATTATTGTTGCATTTACTTCTTGAAAAAAAAAAACTCTAAAGGAGAGAGGGGATGAAGAAGGGAGTGGGGAGAAAACTGGTAACCGTGTAGGTCTCGAGGCATTCAGAACCTTCAAGCCGATGATTCACCCTGTGAGCTTTTTATCTTTCAGTTCCACATTTGGGGCCAGAGATGGTATCAGAAGGCATTTGTTCTGGAAATAGTCTTTAATACCACCAGCAGCAGCCAGGCCCCTGAGATATGCCTGGACCTGCATCCAGGTACCAACTACAATGTCAGCCTGCAGGCTCTGTCTTCAGCCCTTCCTGTGGTCATCCACCTGACAACCCAGATAGCAGGTAAAGCTTGAATAACAGCATGTGCGTTCATGAAGTTGCCGCAGAGCTCTTGGTAGCCCAGATAAGGAATACTGTTGCTTTCTGTCATGATAAACGAAGCTTGAAAGAGAAGCTTGAAAGAGACGGGAGGAAGGATGTGGGATTGGAGAGGGGTCTGAAGAGGCCGACAGCTGTGCCTGCACTGTTTAATTATCTGAAACAAAATGTCAATTACATTGAAATGGTGTAAGCCTGTGAGTTAAGTCCCTTCTGGGTGTTTGAAACATTTAAAACGTTTCAGCGAGGCATGGCGCTTCATACCCACAGTCAGTATTTGGGAGTTGGAGGCGAGAGTCAGGAGTTCATAGCAAGTGTGAGGTCAGCCTGAGCCAAACCCCCAAATAAACCAAACAGCAGCAGCAGCAGCAGCAGCAGCAGCAGCAGCAGCCAACAAGTCTAAGACGTTTCATACCTGAAAAGATTTCTTGTTGCTGTTTTCTAGTGACACATTAAACTAGTGTTCTAATTGTAGTGAAATGGCTCAGTGGTCAAACTGCTCACTGTACAAGCACCGGGGGGACGACCGTCACTCGCATAGAATGTCAGGCATGTGACTCAGGGCTGGAGTCAGGCAGGCAGACTCCAAGGCTTGCTGATCAGGTAGCTAACTGAATCAGTGAGCTCCAGGTTCAGTGATAAACCTTGTCTCCAAAACTAAGGTGATGGTTCCACTGTACATGCCGCTAAGCCCGAGCCCGGCATTTGTCCCCGTAGCCCACACGGTGGAAGGACAGAGCCAGTCCCATGAGTTGCCCTGTGACTTGCACACACTCACACAGTGAATGTATCAATAGACTGGCATTCTGGAGCAACTGCCTTCTGGCAGGTTAGTGCCGGGAGTATACTAAGCCTTCTCCCTTTAGACCTCCAGTCAATTCGCCTTCTGCTAACTTATCCCTGCTGTCTTCAAGTCTTTGAGCCCTGACCCCTGGCCTCCAGCCCAAATGTCGTTTCTTGCTTTTTGTTTCAGTGAGAAATGAAAAATGCTGAGGTGGAGATTCATTTCTCACCCCTTCCATTCCTACCTTCCTTCCATATATATGGCCTTCCCTTGTGTCCCTGTTCCTGTCTAAAGCTGCCATCCCCTCCAGTGTGTGCTCGATGACCCCATCCCTCCTTGCCAGCTTCCATCCAGTGCAGAATGATTCCCGACGCTCCCAAGCCCGTATTGCAGTGTCTTGTTTAACAATGAGCCCCCCCCTGCCCCCCAGCTACTTTGCCCTCTTCAGCCTCCCATCATATTTTCTGTGTAGCCCAAGCTGGCTTCAATCAGGTGGTCCTCCTGCCTCAGCCTTCCAAGGGTTAGGGTTGCATACCGGCATGCGCCACCACGCCTGGCTTGTGTAGCCATTTTCCTGTTCTCACTCCTGGCTGCCGCTCTCCGCCACAAACGGTAACCTTAGCTTTCACCATGCTTTTAAAGGATCACCTCGCAGCTACGGGGTCAGTAAGAATGTGACGGTGCTTGCTCAAAGGTCTCCAGCGAGTTCTAAAGCTGGACTAGAATCCATTTTTTTTTTTTTTTTTTTTTTTTTAGCATAGAGCATGTACGCCAGCCCTGGACCACTTCCTTTAACTCCCCCCATCTCCTTCCTCATCAGGTACTAGCTGTCTCCCCCTCTTTCGCCTTCTTGCTTCTTCTTAAAGAGGTGAGAATCGTCCCTGCTCCAGGCTTTTCCATTGGCATGATCTCTCTGTGATTTCCCATGAGCACTCAGGTGTGATTGGTGCCACCTTGTCTCACTCTGCTCCCGGCTGCTACAACTGACCGCAGATTGGGTGATTTACAAAGAATGGTTTCCTTCAGTCCACTGTTCTGGATGTTGGAAAGGGCGGACTGGAGGACAGCATCTGGCCAGAGGTGGTGAGAACCTTCCTGCTGGGCCATGGCCTGGCAGAGGGTATCACATGGTGAGGTAGAGAAAGCATAACCAGACAGCTGGGTTTTATTCAGACCAACTCTCCCGGTAACCCGTGAGTCCATAAATGGATTAACCCACCGTAGTAAGGACAAGGCCCTCACAACTCTATCACCTCCCAAAAGTCCTGCTTCTCAAATACTGCTAATGTGTGGGCTTTTGGCACATGATATCTGGGGGACATATTTAAACCACAACACCCTTAGAGGGCTTCACCTGACCATCCTTTCAAAAACACCCTCCTCACTCTCTACCCTGTTACGTTCTTTTGAAGATCTCTTTACTTATGTGTACGGGTGTTTTGTCTGCGTGTACATCTGCACCCCAGAAGAGGCTATCGGATCCCATGGGACTACAGTTATAGATGGTTGTGAGCTGCCATGTGGGTGCTGGGAATTGAACTCAGCACCTCTAGAAGAGCAACCAGTGCTCCTAACCCCTGAGCCATCTCTCCAGCCCCTACCCTATTACTTTCTACCACTCACCCTCATTGAATTTCTTCATAGAACTTGTTTTTCAGATCTTAAAAACTGTTTTCTTATCTTTCTCCCCCTCTAAAAGTGGAGTTTTTTGAAAACAATTTTTTTCCGTTGTTTCTATATTGAATTCCTCAACAAATACAAATGACACTTAGCACAATTAAATCCATGTTTGTCAAATAATGGGGGTAATTGATGCTGAGGAGTTAGATTATAAAGTCTAATTTCAAGAGAAATTCTGAGTATTTTGTGCCAGAGACAAGTGATGCTCAATTGAATGTTTATAGAGCAGAATAGATGTTCCGTGTCCTCGTCTCTGGTCCTTGTCATACTTGGGCAGGTTTTACTGCTTTAAAAATATTTCAGTTACACTTTATTATTTTTATTTTCTGTGTGTGGAGCCAGGAGAGGGCTGGCCATGGGATATATGTGTAAGTCACAGAACAACTTGCTATAGGTATTTTGTCTTTATTTATGTATTTTTGCTTTGTTTTGAGGCTAAATGTCACTCAAGTGTCCTGTATCTGTGCTCACGACCACCAGGGGGCACTGTCAAGCTGTTCAAGTTCACTGGGGCAGTGCAGCCAGTTTTAGCACATTGAGATCATGGCTGTTATATGACCTTGCTTTAGACTTGGCAGGTTTTTTTTTTTTTTTTTAAAGCATGAAAATTCAAATTGGTAAGACTTTATAAAGAGTTGAGGGAGAAAAAAAAATCCCCTTTCGTACCATAGAAATGAGAGAAAAGAGAACCTGGTATGTTGATGTGAAAGGATCCTCCAGATGTGTGTGGCATTCATTGTTTCAGCAAAGCCAGGAACTTGGAAATGTTACCAGAAGTGTTAGGTTAAGGATTTGGGTCTGGAAAACAGAGCGGATGCTTTCCCAGAAGAAAAGCGGGTGGAATTTCCCTTCCGTGAGCCTCCCATTAAACTAAATCTTACTGATGGGAACGATGAAAACAAGAACTTTAAATATATTGCTGACCTCAGAGGAGATGAAGAGGAGTGTAGGGACCAGAGGCAGGAGAAAGCAGGAGAGCGGATGCTGGCTGGGGGGTGGGAAGAGGGGATAAGGGAAGCTTCTGGCTCCTGACTCCTGTGCTGCACGAGGCGGCTCATTCTTCAGAACAGGCTCATTCATGCTCCTCTTTAGGGCAGGGAGGAGAACAAACAAGCTTTCATCTTTGATGTAGACCCCAAGGAGTTTTTCTTTTCGTAGAGACAAGGCAGGAAACCAGAGAAGTGGTGGTGGTGGATGGGGGGGGGGAGTGGGGGGCAAAAGTAGGTGTACTTGTGGGTGTGATGATCAAGTCCAGTTGTTCCACGTGACATGGCTGTTGTTTGAAGTCAGCTGTTTCTTCTGGAATGCGGAAAGCCGGAGGAGAAAAGGGGAAGGGATGGAAGGGTGGAAGTCATTTCTCTGTTTGACTTCAGTGCCAATGCTGGGAACTCACGTGGGAAATTTCCTGTCTCTGCTTGCCTTCGTGGTAAGAAAAAGAGAAGATGCTCTTGCAGATGTGCAGGAAGACAGCCAGGACTTCCTGTTCTCTCCGCCCCTGCCTCTGGAACCCCTGTTCTTATCGCTGAGTGACATCACGGGGAGGGGAGGCATCATCAGGACCACTTCTCCTGAGTTTTTCTCCTGCAGACTTCTGTTCCATTTTGGGTGACCACCAACTATTTAAAGGTTTGGCACCCTGTGTCCTCAGTGAAGACCCCATTCTCCCCAGCTAGTTCCAGGGCACCTCAACGGATCTTGACACCTGGGTACCTGGTGTCAGGGGGAGCTAAAGTTGCATTAGAGGTCTGGATAAGGATTGGCTTTCACTCATCTGTTTTCCTTTCAAAGTCTTTGATAAATATAAGCTGTTTGATTCCTGGAGACACAGTGTTGGGTCAGGCCAGAATCTCCAGTGCTTCTGCAGCTCATGCCCTTGTCCCATTCCATGAAACATCCGAGCTACTTTCTATCCCAGATCTCCAAAGTAAATGGCTCAGTGGGCATGGGCCACTCTCCACTCCACTCACTAAAACCATTCAGTTCCCGTTAGTCTTCATTGAGACCCGATGACCTCCCCCCCGGCCCCCGTGGAAGGAAATGGGCTACTTGGGTCACTTTCTTGCATAAATTTTAACCATATAAAATGTGTATGAGGCTGGGAGTGGTGACGCCTTTAGTCCCAGCGCTTGGGAGGCAGAGGCAGGCAGATCTCTGAGTTCAAGGCCAGCCTGGTCTACAAAGCAAGTTCCAAGACAGCCAGAGCTACAGAAAAACCCTGTCTCAGAAAAACAAAACAAAACAAAACAAAACAAACAAACAAAAAAGTGCATGGGAAGGTTTCCTTAGATCAGAAACCTAAAAGCCAGAATTGCTGTGGGTGTGATGGATATGGTAGAAGGACCATGCTGAAACTCAACACTTGAATTCAGGTAATATTTATTAACTGGTTATGTACAAATACCTATGCAAAATGCTGAGAGGTATACGGTGGGGCAGGTCCTCACAGCTCTGTGGGTTGGGAAGGCTGGTCTGACCTTGTGTTGATGTCTTATGGTGGACA